CAAAGTAATTTAGTAGTTTTGTTAGTATGTTGTTTTAAATATTGGTGCAATAATAAGTTGTTTGATATCAAAAAGTTTTTAAATATAAATTATTAGTACATCAGTTAGAAACTAATTCTTAAAAGTAAATAATTTTTAAGAGAGCCAAATGACCGAATTTTGTCACTCCACGGGTTTGAATCTCCAACCTTCCGCATTCAGGGTGGATATGTAATCAATATACCTGTGGGAGGGTGATTTTTCTCACTAGAATTATTTCAACCAATAAATATGCAGTTGAATTGATTGCATAATATATTTTTTATATTTTATGTTTATCATAATTATATTTGTGTACGTATTATTAAAATTGTTTTTTAACTATCTCACAAAATAATTTTAATGAGACATTTTTTAACAGTGTAGTCGTAATAGAACTTTTGTTGTATAATCTACTAATTTCCAATTTGTTTTCGTAATAATTAAAATAGTTATGGATAGCTTTTGTATCTCCGATAACATAAACAGTATTACATAATGCTTAAAGTGTGATGAAAGATAAAATTTTAACTGTAAATTTTTTAGCTTATATCTGTTATTTGGTTTTCTGATCTCGCTTTTAATTAGTGAAGATTTGTTTTGAAATCCGAGAAGTTTTGGTGGACGCGCCGTGCCGGTTTGTTTTTAATATTGTTTTGTGTGTGTTGTTACTAGATAATTTTGGTTTTTGTAGCAATTTGGCTGGTAGTTTAATAGGTCAAATAGATGCCAGTGTAATACGTTTGAACTAAAACTTTAATTTGGATCACGTAGTAATTGAAATTCCTTCGTGTATGAGTCGACATTTCTTTATAATTCAAATGTATGTTTTCTCATGAGACGTTGCGCGCTTAAATTTAATCATTCAATTCAGATTTGAATTTCAAGTGACAGGCGTTTAAAAAATGCGAAAGGAGATAAATATATCTAACAAACGTTGCTTGAATTTCCGTATTTTCCCTTGTCCAATGACGTATAAGGTTGGGTCGCGTATTTTCAGATTGAGGACTTGTAAGAACTTGATCCTTTTTTTCGGGGCGGTATTGTTAAATTCGCGATTGCGAATGGAAAACGAAATAAGTTATTAACAGAGTGAATAAAATTATGTGCTTTACTAGATTTGCTGAATCTTTTGCCAGCAGACGTCATAATAGCGGACGCCTACTCTCCTCAAATTTACTCGAAACGTTGACACAAACATTTCTAATTTACGAATGGACTTCAAGTACGTCACTGCACACAAACCGCACATGTTTTATACTATCTTACTAAAGCCAAACTCCCTACTCGCCAAAGGCTCACTATTAACTCAACTGCCTTTTTATGCCACTCCGCAACCCTTATTTACAAACGGCGATACAAACAAATTACCCAACTTTTGACATTCAAATAGCGCAAAAACTTTTTGAAAAAATTGTTTTATGATCAGTTACCTAGTAACTCGTCTTTATTGAAACGATGTGCTAATTATCATTCAAACTGGGTTTGAGGAAGCGTTATTGAGTAAGCTTGTGAGACATCAGCTTGGTTTAGCGAACTGTAAAAGATCTAAGCTTAAGTCTATTTGCAAGGCATACTTCATGAAGTAATTGTTGAAGTAAGAAGTAATAATTGAAAGTAATTATAAAAATTATTTCAGATGTTTGTAATAAATTTTTAATGTGTTGATGTCATTTGAAGGCTCAGAAGAACCAAGTTATAAACAAATGAAAGTTATACAAAGTTGTCTATACTGTTTCTTATTTATTATTCAGTGAGTGGAGGCTATTGTGTATTATTATTGTGTATTATAGTGTCTATATTACTCTATTAAGAAGGCTGTCAAAATCGAGCAATGCACAATATAAATGCCTCGCTCGACCAGTGTTACAAAGTTCGAATAAAACGGATTCTCCACCAAGAACACACTGAAGTTATAGATTTTTTGCTCACGCGTATAAAGATCACGCATTACTGTGTGCTTTGAATACCCACCAGAAAAATGTTATAAGCGAAATGTAAATTTCGATTTTTTAAGAAGGAAGTATGTAAGTGGGAAAATTTGAACAAGATTTAGGAAAAGTTTTGTCGATTTTTGCATAATTTTGAAAGTTCTCGTGTAAGACAAGTGTTGTCGATCGATATTTCACACTTGCTACTAATTTCTCTCATTCATCGGTTGCGAGCAATGAGCATCCTCCACGAGTGAATTTTGCGCTTTATTGATTTCACCGAGTAAATCGTGAAACATTAATGAGTTTTACAATAAATTTAAACCGGCGTAGATTGAACGTAATAGAGAGCCAGTGTACACAGGTCAACAGGTCAGTGGTATAAAGTGGAATTAAAAGTTAATTACATTTTGTAATGTGGAACTCTGGTCGGTTGGCCGAGTCACATTTGCATTTTTACTTGCAACGTATTGCATTTACTAATTTAAATTTTCTATTCTTCCGACTTTCTACATAAAGCATTTCGCACTGCAAGTATCAACTAGATTTTTAATATGTGGCGGGTTTTTAACGTTTTTCGAACTTATCTTTAACTGGCTTGAACGAAGCCCCACCAAGCAGAGCATAAGGGTCTCTCATGTTGCGAGATCAATTAATTTCCAATAAATTCTGTACTAATTACTGAGATTACAATTTTAAATAAAACAAAAGAGCTTTTTAGTGCGTCACAATTATCTGCAGCGTTCTAATGCACACTTCCGTCGACTAGTAGCTCAAATAATTGTGTAAACGCATAGTAGCAGCAAAGTGACGAGAAGGTTGTTATCGAATTATTTGTTCAAAGGAAACACGTTCCACCCACACATTACAGACGCCATTTATAATATATTCTTTTGATCCGGAAAACATTCGTACGTCGTTCGAAATCTAAATTTAAAGCACATAGAAATATATTACTTATGGTATATATACAGGCTGTATTAGGAAAAACGCCCCAAGCCATAACTCCATTATTTTTAAAGTTATGACAATACTTCTTAGAACAAAGTTGAACATTTTTTGTCATCTATCGTTTGGGATAGATGCTAAATTAATGCTGTTTTCTGTTTAATGGAACACCCTGTATATTTTACCACTTTTGGATTCTTTGTTTAATTGTCTTTTAACATGTTTTAGTACCATGTGCCTAAAACCAACCGTTCGTGAGATATGAGTCAATTAAAAATTTATTAAAGTAGGCAGTGGAAAACAATAATATTAAGTAATGTTGACAAATATTATTACTTTGCATTTTCTCTTATTATTTTTATACTTTTTGGTGTTCTGGTGATAATAAAAGCAATAAAAATAGTTGGAGACCACAACGCCTTTACACTGGCCGGTTTCCAATAAGAGAAGTTCCAATTCGTCGACCTGAAGAAAATTTGAGGATGTTTGGGGTTTTTAGAAAACCTAAATTAGAACAATTGCGTGCGATAAGCCAACGTTACTTGCAATTTCTTGAATTCATGTTCTTGCATTTTCTTCAATACCTATCTAAGTCTGTATCTCTTTGAAATTGGAGATGTTTTAATTTGGGTTTTCTAAAAGCCCAAAACATCCTCAAATTTTCTTTAAGTCGCTTAAATTTTCGACGATTTGGAACGTCTCTCATCAGAAATCACCCAGTGTAAAAGCGTAGTGCTCCCCCACATTATCATCCATGATTAACATTAAAAAGTATAAAAACAGTAAGAGAAAATGCAAAGGAATAATATTGGTCAACATTACTTGATATTATTGTTTTCCACTGCCTACTTTAATAAATACACTATTTGGTGAATATCTCTCGAACGGTTAGTTTTAGGCATATGGTACTAAAACTTTTTAAAAGAGAAAATGCAAAGGAATAATATTGGTAAACATTACTTGATATTATTGTTTTCCACTGCCTACTTTAATAAATACACTATTTGGTGAATATCTCTCGAACGGTTAGTTTTAGGCATATGGTACTAAAACTTTTTAAAAGAGAATTAAACAAAGAATCCAAAAGTGGTAAAATATACAGGCTGTTCCATTAAAAAAGATAAAGTTGAAGAGATTTCCGGTGAAACAGAAAACAGCATTAATTTACCATCTATCCTAAACGATAGATGACAAAAATGTTCAACTTTGTTCTAAGAAGTATTGTCATAACTTTAAAAATAACGGAGTTATGGCTTGGGGCGTTTTTCATAATACAGCCTATATATGTATTCATAAATATGAAGCAATATTTAAACCTCAAAAATGACCTATAAAATGATGTTAATTTAAAATTCGTGTCCGAACTCTATTTTACAGCTCTTGGAATGTTGTTATGGAAATTTATTTTTTTTTGTAATAACTTTGGAACCATTGGACCAAATATTATAAAATTTGGAATAGTTACTTGCGAGAACATACCCTTTAGGCTAGTAATTACGAAAACCGGATACATCTACTCAATTTCCGGTTTCAGCATTTGCAGGTCACATTTTTTGTGTTTTTTCGGTTTTTTTGGCTTTTAACACTAATGTTTTATTGCTTAAATCTAAAGAGTAATCAATTTTGATTAAAAAACGCATAACCTTTGTTACCTATTTCCCTTTTTTTTTTTTTATATATATAAAATAGGTAACACCTTGGCAGCTCGTATTTCGGAGGAGAGCTGATCGTGGGGTTTTTCTYTATGGGCGCCACCCAGTCGAATAAAGGGCCTCTAGTACCACGTGACTGGGAACGTAGCACTCAGCCGACAAAATAAAATAATAAATTAAGGGATATATTTAAAAAATTAAAATATAATTTKATAAATTAAAATTAAGTTTAGATTCAAAAAAAAAATAAATGAAATATAGCGCTATATCCCTTACAGTTGTGAAAGTAAAAATTAAATTGAAAATTCTAGTTTAATAAAAATAAATTGTAGTGTATTAAAATGAAAAAAAAAAATTGTATGAAGAAGATATTAATGAAATTAAATTTAAGAGATATTTAATAACGAATAAACCGCAAAATCGTCGAACTTAGGCCTAAACTTATCTGAACCTGATAGGAGGAGGCGGCGGAGACRACAGGTACAAAATGCGGAGCGATAGGTCTCTGTTTGGCCTCTGTAAAGACAGGAAAATTTCCCCCTTACTTGCGTCCCTAATTCATACGAGAGAATAATTAGTATACCGTAAGATGTACAGATTTTATATTACCTCAGCGAGGGATGGTCGGTACTTGAAGAAAARGTACGGGGTTCGTATCGGGACGATAATCGAGATTTTAAATAATTCGAGACGGAAACGGTAGCTCTGGAATATATTATTGAAATAGTGAATGAAAAATTATTGCTCTTTTACCCTTTCTCGCAAGTTTCCT